CACACACCGGAGCGAGCGGTGGCATCTCACGACAACACACATCTACACCACACACCACACACAGACACAAAGACAACACGATACAAACATTTTAATTGCAACAGTGATCTATTGCGCTGCTGATCCGCAGCCGCGGCCGCAAGGCAACGCTGAGAGTTGCTCGAAGAGGTACCGTCTCTATAATGAATGAATAAATGAATACGCAGCTGCAGCAATAGCAGGGGTAATAATAACAATGATAAAATGGCACGATGTGGAGATGGTGGTGACGCAAGAACAGCAACAGCAACAAATGTCAGTGCACTCAGGAGCGAATGAGGTCGATTAGATCGCTATACATGCTCTCACAGTAGTTGTTCTCCGCTGCAATCTCCATCATCATGTCATGCAGTTTCAACTTGTCCTCCACCTTCATCTGCTGCTGACGCAAGCTGCGCAGCTGATGCACCTTGCGGTCGAGGTCACCCATGATGCTACGCATGCGCCGACTCACCTCCACCGAGTCCGTCGTTGGGTCGTCCAGCACTGCTGTACACTGCTGGTACTCTTTGCGCATCTGAAGGATCTCCCGAAGAAGCGAACGGCATACTGCTGCAAGGTGGCGGCCACTTTTCGTCACACCACGATTCATCCCGCCCGTGCTAGTGTCCAGTGGAGGCCGCAGTGACGGCACCGTCATCGTCGTCGATGTCGTGCCCCGCACCGCTATGTTCTTTGCCTTTGGTGCCAGCAGCGGCGGTGGTGGGCGCCCATCGCCAGCAGCGCTGCCGTTAGCGCTGTTGTTGTCTATGTCGTTGCTCCTGCTGTTACAACAACGCGGAGGAGTCTGCAGTCGCCTTTCAATCGGCGACACGATGCCGCGGCGGCGGTAGTAGGTCCGCGGCTTGTAGCAATTCTGCCGCTCCACCGTCGACACAATCGCGGCGATGTGGTGCGACGACGGCGACTTTGTGTGGCACGGGTCCGGCATCCCGGCGGGGAGGAAGACCTTCTCCAGTCCCCAGCTGTGGTGGCGGCTGCCGTGCTGCTGCTGCTGCCTNGAGCCGCTCCTCCAGTTCGCTACGCCGCTGCTGCAGCTCCGCGTTGAGGGCCTGCTGCCGCTCCAGCGCCTCGCGCAGCTGCAGCTCGTGCCACAGCTTCTCCTGCTGCGCGGCACTCACGTCGGCACACGTGGTGTTCCACTGGTCACGCAGTTCCGCCAACTCGCGTCGCAGCGCGTCCTCCCGCACCTCTCTCTGCTGCTGCCGCGCCCGCACCTCCTCGCGGCATCTCTGTTCCCGCTGCTGGCGCAGCTGCGCCACCTGCGATTGCATGGCCTCGTTCTCCGCGAGCAGCCGCTGCAGGTCCACGCGCAGGCGGTCCTCCACGGCGGCTTGGATCGCACGCTCCTTCTGCAGCAGCAGCGTCAGCTCCGCGCGGTGGCGCTCGAAGCTGGCGCATGCCTTCGCCTCGAGCGAGGCGTACAGCTCCTTGTCCTCCTGCGCCGACTGGATCTTCAGCTGCAGGTCGCCAAGCGCCTCCGTCACGGACGGCGTCGATACGTCGAAGTCCATATCGCCGTCTTTCGCACCGCTAACCCGAGCACAGACACACACACACTCTCTCTCTGTATATATATATATGTATATGTATGTATGTATGTATGTATGTATGTGTGAGCGGACGGTTTCCTTGTACTTGCCTTTAGCCTTCTGTGGCCTCCTGTTTTTTTTTCTGTATTCGGTGTATCCTCTCAGCGCACGAGGGCAAGAAAACAACACAACACCGCCGCACCCCTCGCCCTGTAGGGACGCAAAGAGTGAGAGAGAGAGAGAGAGAAAGTAAGTGAGTGAGAGAAACTCCAACGAGATGCCCAACTTGTGCAGCACACGCACAGAGGTGGTCGGGCCAGCGGTAGGAACGAGGGAGAGGCATGCAAGGATATGATGCAGGTAACGCCACGTATTCCCCCGCTGTCGGTGTTGTTCATTTTCTTCTTGTTTTCCTTTCGTCTTTTGTGTGCTGTTTTTGCAGTCGTTGCCCCGTCTTCGTCCTTGGTCAGCCACGCTTATTTTCCTTCTCTTTCCCTTTCCCACAGATACACACAGCCCCCGCCTCTCACTCTCTCTCCCTCTCTCTCCGGGGGTGCTCTTCCGTTGCGCGTGGGCGTCCCGCGCCGTCCCTCGCTGCGCCGCCGCTGGTGCTCACTCGTAGTCCTCCTCCTCCTCCTCCTCCTCGAGGAACGCACGCACGCCGGCGATGAACGGCTCGCAGCTGCGCGCCACACGCAGCATGCCCTCCTCGCGGGAATCCGCGTCATCGTCGTCGTCGTCGTCGTCGAAATCGGAGTCAGAGTCGACATCGCGTGCGCGCTGCCGCGCCAAGCTGGACATCCGCTCGCTGAACTCCACGAGCGACTGGCCGCTGACGATGCAGTACCCGCGCTCGTCGTAGAGATCGTCGTCGCAGCCGTTGTAGAGGCACTCCATCAGCACCGGGCCGCGCAGGTGCAGCGGGCAGCTGGGGTCGCGGATGGCCGTGCACGTCGCCTCCAGCATTGCCTGCATTTCATCATCGCCAGTCACGATGTCGCTGTAGAATGGGCGGCACCACTGCACAAAGAGGTCCTCCGCCGCCTTCACAACAACGCGCGGGTCTCCCTTGTCGGCGTGCTTCTCCAGCACGTGCGTCAGCAGCCGCTCCGTCACGACGTAGCACAGGTCGCGGTTCTTGCGCTCGAAGGAGAGGCGGACGGTCTTCATCTGGAACATGCAGTGCTCGATGCGGGACGGCTGCTTCAGCGCCTGATCCACGAGCGCCAGCACGGCCTCCTTGAACTTCGCCGCCGTTTCCTCATCGTCATCATCGTCGTCGTAGTCGCCGGTCGCCTCGCTGGCGGCACGCGGGATGGGATCCCGCACAAAGAGCTCGCGCGTGGGGACAATGTTGCTGACGTACCGCTCCTGCAGCACTCTGCCGCAGCCGTTGTGGGCGGCGAGCCACGGCTCAGTCTGCGCCGCGGCACACGCGACGATGGCCTGATCCCGCACCACCACACCCACCGCCTCGCTGCTGCCGCTGGTGCAGGACTTGCCGTTGCGGCCTTTTATTGTCCCAAGGACGCAGCCTTCGCCGACGATGGAGTTCACCACCTCTGCCCTGTCGCCGACAATGACGCTGCGGCCAATGAGGGAGTGGCGCAGGACGCACCCGCACCCCACCCTCGCCCCTTCCAGCACAATACAGCCAATGATAACAGAGCCCTCGCCAATGCGCACGCCCTTTCCGAACACCGTCCCCCGCACGACCGTGTTGGGCGGCACCTCCACTTGTTCGCCCACAACAACGCACGGCTCGCAAGTGTTCGACAGCACCTTCGCCCCAATCTGGTGCAGGTAGACACTCTGGCACTGCGGCGACACCGCGTAGCGGTCGCGGTCATCGGCGAAGGGGAACTCCCGCGTGAGGGGGAAGAAGCGGCGGAAGCAGACATCAATGTTCGCCTGAATGTATGCCCTGAGGCTGTTGATGGGCTGCACGAGGCCCATTGACGGCGTCACCTCCAGCACGCTGAAGACGTTGCCCCACAGCTCCTGCTTCGCCAAGAGGTCGACTAAGAATGCGTGCTGGTCTGCCATGTGAAACGTGAAGAGCGACAACGCGCCACCGGAGCAGAAGAGGAAGCCGGTGGGCAACAGGTCGGTGCGCACAGAGTAGTGCTGCTGCTTCTTGAACTCCACCACCGTGGGATCCGCCGGCTCCTCGCGCGGCTCGAGCCGCACCATGCCGTGCACCACGCCGGTGGACTTCTGCAGCGTGAGCATCGTCAGATGGTGCGGCGGCAGCTCCGATGCGGAGAAGAGGCGCCACTCTTCCGCAGGCGCCAATATGATGGAGCCCTCACGCTCCAGCAGCTGCGACCCGTCACGCTCGGCCTGCGCGCGCGCGTTACTGACGAGGACGTCGTGCAGCGTGTCGACGAGGGAGGCCCTGACAGAGGTGCACAGCAGCGTCGCCGCATGGCCCTTGATCGTCTTGGTGCGGTGCACGTGCGCGTGGAAGAGGTCGCGCAGGTTTGTGAATTGCGCAACCGCGTCGATGGGGACGAAGAGGAACGACGAGTTCTGCCCGACGAGGTTGTGGTCGACGATCTCCGCGGTGGCGTCGTAGAGCTGCGTCATGGTGCGCACGCTCTCGACGATCTCCACCTTCATGTCCTTGCTCTCCAGCCACGGCCGGCCGCGCGCGGTGAGGTTGTTCTGCAGATGCTCGCGCACCTGCTGCACCGACGCGGCGTTGAGCAGGATGCACACCTCGTCGACGCCGTTCTGCGCGAGGTTCTCGAGGATGTAGTCGATGATGGGCGTGTTGCAGATGGGCAGCAGCGCGAAGGGGAGGTCGTCGGCGGGCGCCACGGGCGAGAGCGGGTGGGCGGGCGCGCTGAACACCTCGCCGACGATGATGACAGTGAAGTGCGGGCCGTGCCGCCGCCGCCCAGTCTCCGTACCGCGGCGCGTTGCAGCCAAATCCATTCTCTAACCCTTCCGGCCTTGCTGTTACCACTAATACGACTGCCGCCGCAGCTGCTGTGGCTGCTTACTGCTTATTAATAATATTAATATTCTTACTGCAGTGTGCAGTAGAGTCTCCACTCTATGGTACAA